GAAAGCTTGGAAGAGACAGAATACCAATGAAACAGTTATATCTGAGGTTTATTTTTTTTTCACTCTGCATTTATTGAACAGAACAGAAAATATCACATGGGGAAGAAATGGGATACTTTACAGAAATCTTTAACAGAGTTTTACAAGGGATTAAATCACTGGCTCCAGTGGATTCCAAATGACCCAGATAGCAAACATCATTGTTTATCAATTAATACCCATAAATGGTTGATTTCAATAGCAAACATCATTGCTTATCTGAGGTTTATAAGTCACAAACATATGGTAGCAGCAATTTCATGGTAAACAGTTCAATACATATTTGAAGAGTTAGGAACAGAGATGAGTAAGTTGAGACAGGTTTATCCATTAAGTGAGAGGGCAGAGGAATAGGAGATATCACTTTAAGGTAGAAATTGTGAACAGCAAAGATATCAAGATGGTGATTTGCTACGTGGAGAAGACAGGGTCCAAAGACTGTAGGTAAAGAGTGGGAAGCAGTAGGCGTGGGTATCAAGGAGTTTTAACTTACGAGAGTAGATGTAAGAAGAGCACTGGTCAGGAAGTCAACCGTTCTAGGCTGGTCCAAGGAGGCTGGGGAGGCAGACAGCAACACGAGAGACACAGAAAAGGAAGATTCTTTAGTCCATAGTGACTCAAAGAATGTGGGAGTAGAGGGACTTATAAAAATAACTTTAATTTAAACAATGCTTTGTCAAGAGTACTCTCTTTTTTCCCCAAAATGATGAGGTATCCAGGAGATATCCAGTACTATATATTTATCTCCATGACTAACAAAGAACCAAATTATTTTAGAACATTTTTTCATATGTAACAGTAGCTTTAAACCCCCTTTTTCTATCAACCTTACTCTCCCTTTCCATGAAAACCCCATAATTAGGAATCAGGTCTTTGTAAGGCCACACCGATGGGGTCACCACACACATAAGTCACAACAATCTGACCTTATGTCAATATCTCTAGAATTGCCAGTCTTCTTAAATAGGGCTGTAAGTGAATGGCTAATCAAGGAATCAATGCAACCTTCCAGGCAATGAAAAGATGTGCTTAGCTTTCCAAAGAAATGCATGCTTGTATTTGTATGGAGAATCCTCCCTTGGTAAAATTGTTTCCACAGCAAGATCTCATTTTCACAGTAGACCTGAAAAGGAGGAAACGAAAGCAAAGTTTTAATTTCTGGCTTATGAAAGAAGAAACCGGGAGATGCAGAGATTGACTCCTTTACAATTATTCCTCTTAAATAGACAAGCAGGTTAGCGCTAGAGCTGGTCCCTGTCTGTGCTCCTAAGTTCAGTCTGTCTTAGAGCTTGGCTTGGAACACTATGGGATGACACAAGCCAGATGCCTATTTTGTTTCACAACATGTAAATGACATTCATACAGCACAGTCTATATAACCTGTCTCGTCCATGCCATATAAACAAGCACATGTTTGCATATATCAGCATCTACAACATTTTTTGATATGACACATTATCCTAGGTATTTATATATTTTATAAAGTGGACAGTTAAGTGTTGTCAAGGTGTTAGTTTTACAATATCTGATCTCTCATCTTTTACATTCAGAAAACTGTTTTTACCCAGAATGCTGCAGTATTCTTCATCAGTTGCTTCTTTGATGACTTGAAAAACTATGGAGTAGAAACGACACATAAACTAGGTTTAAAGGAAGTCTTGCTAAGAATAACAAGTAGTTGTTCTCATTCCTTTGCTGAGTACAAAAGAGATAACATCAATTACCATAACTGCTCTTTAGTCCAGAAGCGATCCAGTCCCTTTCACCTGGGGAGGACCGGAAGAGCAGAGAGAAAGATTAAGAGCCTGGGGACTGAGGGTTTGTCAACTGTGATTAACACTAGTGGCAGCCTTGTGTAGTAAAGTGGCACCTGCCACCTTCCTGCCTTAACTTGACCACTCAGAAATGATCACTTCTACCATCATTTGGTTATGACTGTGATGGGAATATTTTAATTGGGCCACCCTGCTTTTACAGAAGGATACTGCCAAGAACAAATAATAACTAGAGGAATAGCAACCATATTTACATGAAAACATGCAACTGACAAGCCTTATCACCTATATGATCTCATTATTAGTTATTTCCAAGTTGGTATTACATTTCATCATTTTAGAGGGATCTGATCACATTCTTGTGCTAAGTCAAATTCCTAGTAAATGATAGGCCTGGAACCCACTATCCTAAGTTATCACACTATACCAGACAGTCCCTAAACACATAGAAAATGTTGGAGCCAGAATGAAGGTAGCTGGATGGATGATAGATAGGTAGATAGATGGAAGATAGATAGATAGATAGATAGATAGATAGATAGATAGATAAGAGATGGATGGATGGGTGGGTAGATAAATGGATAGATGGATGAGAGATAGATA